GCCCGTGGTGGAAAAATGTGCAAAATTGGCTTACCCGCGGTTTACCCGTGGTATGCCCGCGGAACAGACGCCGGCGACTGTTCCGCGTCCTTATCGCGGGTGAAGCGCGGCGGTACCGCGGCCTACCACGCTTACACGCGGTACACACGCTAATGCACGTGATAACAACGCGGTACAGACGCGGAACAAACGTGCTATGACCGTGCTCCACCCGCGATTACCCGCTAAAATTTCGCGTCCAATTCCGCGTGTAACCACGTCTTAACCGCGGCCGTAGCACGTCCTAGCACGTTCGTTCCGCGTCTGTACCGCGTCTTTACCGCGTGTGTACCACGTGTACCGCCCGCGATTACCCGCGGTCTAAATTTTTGGGCAGCCCAAAACTTTTTCGCGCGGCCAACCGCGTGTGAATTTCTTACCACGTGTAACGACGGGTAAAGTACGGCTGTATCGCGTCTTTATCGCGACCTCAAAGCGTCCAACAGCGTCTGCTTCACGGGCAGAAATTTTTGGCCGTGATTCGGCCGCGATACGCCCGTGGAGGGCTGTGTGACCGGGCCTTAAGGCCCGGTCACACAGCCTTTCGCGTCTGTATCGCGGGTAAAATTTCGCGATTTTTTTTTGCCCGCGGTTGCCCGTGGTGGAAAAATGTGCAAAATTGGCTTACCCGCGGTTTACCCGTGGTATGCCCGCGGAACAGACGCCGGCGACTGTTCCGCGTCCTTATCGCGGGTGAAGCGCGGCGGTACCGCGGCCTACCACGCTTACACGCGGTACACACGCTAATGCACGTGATAACAACGCGGTACAGACGCGGAACAAACGTGCTATGACCGTGCTCCACCCGCGATTACCCGCTAAAATTTCGCGTCCAATTCCGCGTGTAACCACGTCTTAACCGCGGCCGTAGCACGTCCTAGCACGTTCGTTCCGCGTCTGTACCGCGTCTTTACCGCGTGTGTACCACGAGTACCGCCCGCGATTACCCGCGGTCTAAATTTTTGGGCAGCCCAAAACTTTTTCGCGCGGCCAACCGCGTGTGAATTTCTTACCGCGTGTAACGACGGGTAAAGTACGGCTGTATCGCGTCTTTATCGCGACCTCAAAGCGTCCAACAGCGTCTGCTTCACGGGCAGAAATTTTTGGCCGTGATTCGGCCGCGATACGCCCGTCGGAGGGCTGTGTGACCGGGCCTTTAAAGAAAGATAATTTCTTCTGGAAGCCTATACCAATACTGCTATTCTATCTAATCCGAACTAATTCTTCGATATAATCAACAAGGGTAATTCAATTTATTCCTTGTAATGCTATTATGTCTATGCATTTTGCTCTCCCTTTCATCTTATATCAGTGTTTTTCTTCCTTGAGACTGATGTGACACAAACCCTTCATTTCTCTCACGTCACCCTTGTATTGATGATAATTGGTATGGTTCATTAATCATAACAGCGTACTAAATTAATTCCGACAATTTATTAACTTGTATTATAGAGTACAAAGTGTCAACATTAAATGGATTAATAAAATTAATTATATAAATTGTATAAATGGGCTTTGAAATAAAATGAAACATTTTGGTTTAGTGTATTGGTGATTTTATTACAGAGCATAGACCGGTGCTGTAGAATGAGCCCCCTCCCTATGATGGGGTACTGCAACAATGGGGGGGGGGGGGTCTTGTTTGAAAAGTGAAAAGCAAACTAGACTACTGATCAGAGGGGAAGGTGCAGGATGTGATCCGATGTCTTCTCTCCTCCCTATTTTTCTAAAAAATGTTATATATTTTTCACCATTCAAGGGGGAGGGGTGGGAAGGGGCTCCCTTGTTCCCCATGTACCTAAGCCTCTGGTGAAGAAGCTGACAAATTGCCACTTCATATTAAAATCAGTTGACTACCCAGTGAGTCAGACCTGTATAACATTTCTATGAATATATACTAGGTGTGCCGAATAATGGTTTGAAGATCACGATCATATGACTGTTACTATAGCATTAAAGCTTGATTTAAACAAAAATAACAGACAGTAAGTTTGCGAATCCTACTGCTTTAATTGGGTTAGTTTGCACTTTTCTTTTACATGTTAAAAATTAGATTAATGGTCTTAAGTACGAGCGTTTCCCTCAGAGAACGAAATAAAATCATCTATGATATTCATCCAACGATTCAATTTTTAAATATTGCTATATGAAGCGCCCCAAGTAATTCATTATTGTTTAGTTAGGTAATAGCAAATTATCCCCTGAAATATACCAATTTATATTTACAAAAAACGGATTTTCAATAACTCCTCTATTTCATTCATGCAGCTAACTTTTCCAAATGGAGTGGGATAGAGCTGAATGATATTCGAGGTAAATCGAAATGTTGAACTGATTTTTCGAGTGCCTGTTTTGCATTTTGATAGATATAGTCAGTTTGTGACCCACTTTTGCTTTACCATTTCCTGACATTTTTTAATACAGTGCATTTTGAAGGTAGCTCACGTAATTTCTCTATATCCCAGCACTATTATATAAAACTGATTGATTGTCACAATTATATCCTTTTTTTAAATATCATCCATGGTATCTTAGTGTGGACTTTCCCCATAGGAATTGGAAACTGTTAGAACGGGCACCCGAGAGAGATGAATACCCTATTGGTATTTTTGGCGAAATTTAATTTACAATTCGACAGTCGTAGATAGAATCAACATACTGTAGAAACAATAACATTCGTCTTAGATCAATAAAATAGCGGAGCACGATTTCTGCTAGTAGTGCTGATAATGGACTAGGGAAAAGTGTAGTTTCAGTGAATCAGAATATCCTTTTGAATTTAATGCCATTGGAATGAGGGACATATAGGCCCGAATTCACAAAGCAAGGTTTGAGCTCAAACCTTCTTTTGTTTTGCCAAACCTCCTTTTGTTCTTTACAAACCAGGTTTGTAAAAAACGCGTAAAACGCGTCATATGACGTACGAAAACCAAGGTTTGTCGACAAACCTCCTTTGTGAATTCGGGCCATAGTGTTAGGCGTGTATTTATGTTCACACTGGCAAAAATATCTCATTTTCTGTTCAATCCGATTCATGATTTCTGTATTTATTTAATACTTTAAGAATTTGCTTGTTTCTTAAATCAGTACAACAAAACAAACTTAACAATTGTAATCAGTATACTGTCTGTCAACGGATGCCACATTGATAACGATAGAGTGTGCAATGTGTTTATTTGACGGCATTTATCGTACGTGTGTTGGGTAAAAGAAACTCGTATCTCTTTTTTTCACCCTTATAATCCAATGCCTATTTGTTATAATTCCTTCACGTCTCGACTAAGGCATAATATACATAATAATTATGATTGACAATTTGATTATCAAGCTGAAAACCAAATCTATACTATACAAAGAAAACATCGCAGGAGCACGTTATTCATGAATATTAACCGGAAAATTATAACAAGTATGAGACCTGAATTAAACGCCAAGTGGTCACCTAACCGATGTGGAATATTTATGTTTTCCACGAGATAGAGTTACAATACGATATCGGTCTGACATTTCATGAATATATTCATTTGAATTACTCCCTGACAGTCGAGAGAGCTGTGATGAATAACAATTACACTTCAACTTATTTGAGACAACAAAACATTTATACTATCAGGGGTAAATTCAGCGAATGTTGAAGGTTTGTCTTCATTATAAATGTCAACCTTTCAACAAATCTATTGGGCGAATAGTTCGTTCGGAGAATAAAATGAATGTGTTAAACGTGGCTTCAATGTTCAAATCAATGCGAAATACAGAACACACTCTAACATTATAGTGGATGTGGATTATAAAATGAAATCGCTGTAAGATCTTCGTGTGATAATTGCAATTAATCTTGACCCGCTTACATTGTTGTGTTGCGAATGAGTTTGATTGCGATTTATTGCTATAGATTTGTAAATTATAAGAACTGCGATAACAAACAAAAAGAAAATCACTTCTGTATTTCCCAGTCACCTAGATTTCGTTCACCTATAGAAGTTATTCTCCCCTCACGTACAGTCCCCAGGGCTTATATTGATGATCAATTCCAGTATCTTTCAACTTATCTCCTTACTTTCTTTCCATCTCCATTGCATGTTAGTACAGTTCAGGACAATCACTCAAGACAATGGGCATGACGTTTGCATGAATTCTTTACCTTTTCCCTTTCCATCGCCTGCATTTTTCCGAGAATGATATCCTATGCATGAAGCACTGTTTCATATCATCTAAAGATAACATCCTAAAGATTGTCGTTTGTTTTTTTATGGTGACTGTCACACAAATGAGGCCGTTATTAATTCTTTACGAGACTACGCAATGAACGGACATTGCAATAATTGATTTTGAAGAAGAAGAAGAGATAGAGAGGGGTGGAAAGAGGAGGAGCAGAAGGAGAAGAATAAAAGGGAGGAGAAGGAGGAGGGAGGGAAGAAGAAGAAGAAGAAAAAGAAGAAGAAGAAGAAGAAAAAGAAGAAGAAGAAGAAGAGACACTGAGAGAATTAGAGAGAGGGAGAGAGACAGAGAGAGACAGAGAGAGACATACAGACAGAGAGAGAGAGAGAGAGAGAGAGAGAGAGAGAGAGAGAGAGATACAGAGAGAATGGAATGGCCGGTTTCAGCACTTACAGTCTCGAAAGACCCACCACCAATACTTCGAGATTTTTAATATTTATTCAAATATGTTATGAACTTTGAGTGAAGCTTGAAAAACAAACAAATATCTCCATCGTTTTTTCTTCACACTCCTTTTTAGACATATGAATGTCCACATCTCATCGTCATATTCCACATCATGTCATTTAAACAGAGGAAAGCAATGTGCCCAATATCATGCAATTGGTGTATGACTTAAATAACATAATCATGTACGTGTATTTTCATTCTTGTTGAACGGAAACAACGTTTTATAATGACGTAATTTAAAACTAATTTCGTCTTGACTGATCATTCTTTTATCAATATTTCTATTTTTACAGATGTCGTCCTTGGCAAGGCTGGTAAATCCAAAGCAGTCAAGAAGGTGAGATGCTTATTTTTTTTAATTAGGCATGTCTGATTTCAAAACTACTGAAAAATTCAGGGATTGACTTTAAAAATATATATCATAGATTGCCTATGGTGTTCCTTGTATTCTAATAAGTAACCTGTAAGCATTGGTTTAACAAAATTAATGTTTTTGATCTATAAGTTTTCTACAAAGAACACCCCAAAAATGGATAAAAACTGCTCAGAATATATCATTATTTATAACATTACAGATGAGAGAATACGATAACACATATCTGTTTTTACCTATATACGCAGACGGTATAGAATCAATTCTAATCATTTCTAAGCATGGTATTCTCTCTATTCTAATATGCTAAGTGTAGCAGAGGTTCAACAGAAGTAATAATTTTAATCTATGGATTGTTTACAAATAAATAGAAATGCTCTAGATACATAATAAATTATAACATTACATAAGAACAAATATAATTACACATGTTTTTAAAACATATGTACATGACATTAAAAACAAATCTAAAAACTATGTGTTTTACACAATCCTCACTTTTTATTTTACTCATACACGCTAACATTAGAAACAATGTTAACAATTATTTGTTTGCCTTCTCCGTTTTCTCAGGATGCAATAGATGAAGACCCACTTGTACAGGATCTCAACGATCTCGCTTCCCTCAAAAGCAAATCAACGAAAAAAGGCGTTAAAGATGAAGCAGCAAAGAAGCTTCAAAAAGCATCGTCCAAGTACAAGGCGCCCGTAGACGACGACGATGACGACGAGAGCGTAGTCACGAAGAGCAAGAAAAAAACAAAGTCGAAAGCGACGTTGAAGAAACAGAAGGCGGAGGAAGAGGAAAAGAAGAAGCAGATCGAAGAGGATAGCGATTCTGATGACGACAGCGATGATACCGATAGTGATTCTGATACTGATGACGACGGTAAAAAGGATACAGATTCTGATTCTGATTCTGATTCTGATTCTGATTCCGATGATTCTTCCGACGATGAAGACGGCGATGATGACCAAGAGACGCTCATTAATAAGCTTTTTAACATGGTATGATTTATACATACAGTGTAGGCCTTTAATAATATCTTTGATTGCAATGGATCATACATTCAAATAACAATTTATGCAAGCTTAAAATGAAAAATGTAATTTTATTCAGAGAAGAGAATGAATTTCTAAATGGATCCCTTTCAGGAAATAGGCGGCTTTTGTTTCACTGCATTACCCGTAGCGGGGGGTAGATTAGGACAAAAAGGAAAAGTATTTTCAATTACAGGTTGATTTAGGGGATATTGTATATTGATTGGAAAATTATCTTGCTCTTATGTTCCATGTACATGTATATTCACCGAAATGTAGGTTTCATTTTATTCAAAGAAACCTACGTCAATTCACATTAACCATGTAAATCTTTAAAGTGCTGTGTTTAAAGGGAACTCGTTATATTTAAAAAAATATTTTTTCTTACCTGTTCTCGTTCAAGTCATGTGCGATTATCCACTTTTATAAGTTTCATTTTTCTCTTTGATTTGCTTGACACAGGTTCAGTCTATTATACCCAAACCTTCCAAGTTCAAATCTAGGACCTACTACACGAAAGACCAAAATCATGATGATGACGACGATGAAGACAGTGACACCGACAGTGACAGTGATAGCGATAGCGATGACGAGCCTCCGAGCAAAGTAAAAAGTGATCTGAAACAATCGAAAAAGCCCAAATTGAAAACAGAAAAATCTTCTGGCAAGAAAGTAGTTGAAGATGACACCGACTCTGATAGCGATTCGGATAGCGATAGCGATGATAGCGACGACGACGACGATGATGATTCGGACTCCGGCAGCGATTCGGACAGTGATACCGACAGTGATACCGAGAGTGATACAGACTCTGATGATACGGATGATGATAGTGATTCTGATAGCGACGATGATAAGGTTAAAGCGAAATCGAAGGTCAGTAAAATGAAGAAGAAATCGTCCTCCAAGACAGCAGAGTCTGAGAGCGATAGTGATAGCGATGATACATCCGATGACGACGACGATGACAGTGACACAGACAGTGATGATACATCTGATGAGGAGGATGACGATGATTCCGACGATGACACTGATACCGACAGTGACACCGACAGTGATACCGAGAGCGACACAGACACTGACGACACAGATGAAGATAGCGATTCTGATAGCGACGATGACAAAGATACTGATAGCGATAGCGACAGCGATTCTGATGACGACGACGATACGGTGGAAAGCATAGTCAACGAACTCATGTCACAACTTAAAAAGTACAAGCAAAAATCCGGTAAGGCCGTTAACTTCTAATGCGAGTGCATTGTTTATGAAGATTTATCATTCGCTTGTTTAAAGTTTATCGGCACACATACATTTTCATGTAGTTAATATGATGCTCATTCCGTTTGGAAGAATTCTTTTGACATTTTATATTTAAGATGTTATACTTTTAAAGGATGAATATTGTAAGAGGCATTTGGAAGCATAGAATGATATCTCCGTGAAAACGATGCCTAATAGTCTTTTTCTCTAAAAGAAACTTCCATACGTTTTAAACGGTACATTTAGTTATTTAACCATTCAAGCAATTATATCTTTTAAACAATTCGTTTTGATTCCCTCCACACTTTCATCGACGTGTTTCTTAGATTTCCTGTTTTAGCACAGTCCATGTTGAACTTCTTACAAATATTCGATATCCCTTTAATGACTCTTTTCTTTTTTCCCAACAGGCAAATCTTCAAGTAAAAAGACCAAGCAATCGGGATCCACACAACGAGGAGATACAGATGACGTTACGCAAGAACTAGCAAGGATCGCCAAGCAACTCAAGAAATTAAAACGCAAATGAAGAAGGCGTAAAACTGTTAGATATTTCAGCGTTTCGCTTTAGTTACCTACTCCGTCAAAAGTTAAACAATTTTCCAGTTTTATAAAGTTTTCCTTAAGAGAGAAAGGCGGTCAGAGTAAGAGGAGCACAACGGGGTAGGGGTCGTGTCTCTAACAGAATTTGCCACATGCCCACCTCCCCGCCTCACCCCCTCCCCACCCCTTCTCTCCTGCCCCCGTTTATATCTTGAAATATTTTTCTTCTCTTTTGGGCTGTTCATAGTTTGTAAGACATTGTCAAGGATTTCGGGCACATACCTGCCTTGGGAATAAACCTGGATCGGTCCCTGAGATATAAAACTCCATAAAATCAGATTAAAAAGTAGAACATAACTAAACATGGATGAAAATGGCCCATGCAAATGTATGTGGAGCTATAAGCAAAATTGAAGATTAAAGTTGGTCGAGTGGTCAGCTATCTGGCTTCGCTTACAAACCGACTGTGACGGACTACAGTTCGAAACCGAGTCGTGTCTTTCAGATGGCAAGGTCGGTCTACAAACGTACGTACCGATAATGAATTTTTTACTGATAAACTTCGACAAAGACCATTTACACACACAGAAAAATGACAATCTGATGATCGCATCAGTATGACGGAGTAGGTAATTGGAATAGCATTTCATGGAATTAGACTTGCCAAGTTTTGTATCTTTGATCACGACCGTCTTATGCAATTTTGCATTTACACCGTATCATTGTTGAAGATGCAAAATAGGCCAACTTGATAAAAGTATAAATGCTCGAACTTTCCACATTTAGACATACATTTTCCTTCTGATCCATTAATCATTATTTCAGTTTGAAGTGCCGAGTGATGAAACAGAAAATTACACATATAGTACATATAGTTTATATGTTACACTATTGTATTTTTAATAATATATGAATCTGCTCGCCAAGTAAAATTGATTGGATATGTTATACCATATAGTGTGTTCTCTAGCAAGACTCATATCATATTCAACTGATTTGAAGGACTTACGAAGTCATTGAAACAATTGTGAAATGTTGTAAATATTACTACAATCTATTTTCACGTTGTTTTTGTATATTTGTATCTTTGTAATTAGTAATGATATAACTTTCTTTTGTCCACCACTATTTTGAAGTATACATTTTGATTCAGCTATTTGCTTCGGATTCAACGGTATTTCCCGTTCGAATATTCCATCTTGATCGAGTTGTTGCTTTTCTGACTTTGCTCTAAAAAGGAACGAAATTTCAACTTGAAAGTAGATATTTTAGAAATAGAGTAGTTTGCATTTATTTGTTGATGGGCAGGTTATCGGAATTTGATTGAATGACGCTCAATGAATTGTATAATAATGTACTGTGCCTACTCCAAATCAATATCAGTTATCAAATAATTGTTTATGATGCACCCATTGTTACAAGAGATTCGGTTTAATCTCCTTCAAGACTTGAAATACAATTTTATAAAACCTTAAAATTTACAAATAATGTCCCAACTTTCAGTTTTCCCATTTTCTACACACATTTATTGTCATTTGTCATAACTGACGGAAGTTTCACGTTATAAGGCGGAAGAAGGGTAGAGATCAATTCAGTCTTTTACAAATTATTATCGTCTGGAAGAATACCGAAAGCTTTACAGTCTTCTCGCCATCTCACGGGTCATTAGTCTGAACATCTAAAGGACAACATATTTGAAGAGCTTATCTTAAGTTAATACCTGTGAATTTCAACTAGTAGCATCATCTATTGCATCTAAATAAAATAGTTTATAAGAAAATGAAGAGAGATTGATAATAGCGAATCTAGAAGTGAGGAAAGAACGTTATTTTTTATGTGAGTTTGAAGAGCATGGTTTTTACAATGGATTTTTGTAGTGAAGGTTTTGATACATTTGTACATGAAATAGATGAGGTTTTGAAAACTTTGATATCCATTTTTCAGTCATTAAGAGGCTGTGTCATGAATATTTATTTATTAAATTATCTTGGCGGGTTGTATCCTACTACTTAATTTCCATCTCCTTTGCATCTGTTTTTTCCTAAATCCTTTCTCTAAATTGAAAGATAACGAAGAGGTTTAATTATTTGCATTATAAATCGTAATAAGTCACAAATTCCTCATTTGGATTCGCTAAGGAGAAAATGAAAGATTAATCCATCGAAATTGTAATTTAAACATGTAAACAGAAAACATTGCTTTGTATCTTATTTCAATTAAGTGGCAGTGCAATATATTCATTATTATTCTCTATCAATTATCAAATTTGTTTGATGTGTTTGAAAAAAAATATAAGAAATTAAATGACTGGAATTGTACAATTGAACGTGTTGATGTGTAGTTTGTCTTAAAGTTGACAATGTCAATTAAACTTTGAATAATTTGCTCGTTATGAAAGCAAAATCGTAAAACAGATTGCTAAGTTTATGAATGTTTGAAATTAGAGATCCTGAAAACATGAAAATCTTAAATTAGGACATTGGTAATACGATTACTCGAGTGTTATTAAGCTGTACAAGACATCAAAACTTTTCATTCGAGGCTGTCCTTATCTTTCAAGGCTATATTATATTGTGCTGTTATATTATGTCCTCTTACATAAACAAATAGGAGAGTTGCCAGTCATTACATCACAATGGCATTACAATTACCTGATATTCAAATAAATGAACGTATCTCAAAGCTTCAAACATTCACAACTTTTTCAGTTGTCCGACTTCGTTTAAATTTTCACCAGTTTCCATATTTTCCTGCTTCTATTCAAAGCAGCTTGCTACCAGGGATGATGTGCCCTAAAAATAAACGAGTCCATATTCTATCAAAATTTAAACCAGATTGTGGGTTTTGCCTTTTGTTCAAAGCGGGACTGCACTACTTGTAGCTACTTGCGCCCTCTATATAGCACACAATGCCTAAGCGGTACCCGTTGGACCCCCATGATCCCTTTTTCTTATGTTAATTGAGAGCTGATTTGATGAGATAACCTCCTGTCAGTGATCATGCAGGGTGGTCTAATCCCTCCTGGCCAAACTAGTGCAGACGGGCTTAAGAACTGAAGATCGTCAAGGATCTAAATTATCCTTTTGTTAAACTTATCATACCCAGGGTTGGGTTTTACTCCCATGGTGTGTTCAGTTAACCGATTCTATGTCTATACATTAGGGGTAATATCATCATTCGACAGCACAGTCAAAGTGAACAATTGAGATTGTTACTGAAAATTCAAAATTGAAGGTAACCATGCATTTTTGTTCCATGAATCTGAAGTGAAAAGTGTACATTCATTGTGATTATGCGATTCTAGGACAATTACCCCCTGGGCAATCACCCCCAACCAATTACCCCCATGACAATTACCCCCCCCCCCCCCCTGAAAACTACACCCTTAGAGAATCACCCAATATGCTTTTATTAAAACCAAATTATTACTTCCCTTTCCCTTTAATGAACGGGGGGGGGGGGGGGGGATAATTTGTAGGGGTTATGGTCCTTAGGGGGTAATCTTCCCGGCGGTAATAGTCCTGGGGGGGGGGGGAGGGTATTTTTCCGGGTACGTGATATAGCCTGTGATTTGCCCTAAAACAGACCGGAGACCTATTTTTAGCACCACCCCATTGATTTTATACCACAACAAATACATATACAATCCAACAATTCTCATTTGCTCAATATTGTCTCAGAGTCCTCTAAACTTACTATACCTGTACCTCACATAAATACAAAATTGTATGCAAGACTCTTAAATTATTCACATAAATGCACCACACAGTACTAGAATCAAGTTTTTCACTCAAGATTTATTGAAAACAGATAACAAACCAATCTTTCCAATTAAGTACATCTCACATTCCCTGACAAGGAATTTCATGATGTAAAATACTAAGACTGATAGGTTTCCTTTCACATTACAAGTGAAAGTTTTCATAGGAGAATTTTGCATAGCTTTGAATATTCTAATTCATATCTATACATTGAAGCTATGGTATTTGATCAATGATGAAAATACCCTGCTGTTCAAAAGTGCACACAGTCCTGGGCCCCAATTTTACAAAACTTGTCACTAGTGACAAATGACAATTTTTGTTATAAGCTAGTGAAATCCTTGCTCCTGATTGGTTATCAGCAGATTCGTCATTGATTTTTGTCATTTGTCATTGAACAAAATCTTTGTGAAACAGGTCTCTGGTCTATAATGATAAGTAACAATTCTCGCTACCCTAAATAGGTACGAAAATCTCGAAATTCGCGAGACGAGGTAATTTTCACTCTCTCGGGTCGTCACTACAACTTCCGGTATAGAGTCCCATCCCAAGTCACGGCCTTCATCCACCCCCATTTTTCAGGGTTCTTACGCTTGGAATCATGAGCCCAGCACTGTGCAGCCTCACAAAAGAAAACCATCGTCACTGATGTCAAAAGACGCAAAAAACAACGAATGAAATGTTCAAATAAACATTGAAATATTTGCGAAAAAAAAACAAGACCGAGCAGACGACATATTCGGTGCATACACGTTGTGTGGCGACGGCGTTTTACGTTTGCGCTATCGCGCCGCCTGCACAGGAAGCTGTAATGTCGAAAAGCTATCCCATAATGCAATGCGCGTTTTCAGGATTTTCCCCGGATCTCGGCAGAATCGCTATTTGGGGTAGCGAGAATTGTAATTCATACAATTTTAAATACAAGAGGTAAATACTGGTATCCTGTACCGTAGCAAGTGTCTCTGGGCACCAAGATTTCTTTTTTATTGTTTTTATCATTTGTTGAACTTGTTATGCTTTTATACATAATTTCAAACTTTTTCTAGACCTCACTTACATTCTTCGGCCATTTCGTTTGGCTTTGACCAGTCAAAATGTAATTCATAAAGACAGTAGAACATGGAGGTAGTCCACTTTCCCCAGAAAGCCAAAATATATGCAAATTCAATGCACGATATTAGCAGTCTATATCAACAGAAAAAAAAGCACCATGCAAATATCTTCAAATTGATTTTAAATACTTTGGATACGATTCCAACCTCTAAATGCGTTCGTAGTGATGATTCACAAAGTTCGTAGCAAAAGGGCTTAGAAAGTTAATAATATGTCCAGTAAGTGTATATCAAAAAATATTTTGGCAAAAAACAACAACCTGCATCTGTGCAAGTATAATGCTGTGTGGTAAAGAAGTGACCAATTTACTGTTTTTGAGCTAAATATATATTGCACACCGACAAAATCTACATTGCTAAATTCACTGCAGATCATTTAACTAACTGTTTGCTATACACTTCACTCTAGCTTCAACAAGTATCAAGAAAATACCACAAGAAGTTATGTCATCTAACCTTCACCCATAATTACAGAGTTGTACAAAAAAAAAAAAATCTTGCACAACTGTGAATACATGATCTCACATAGTAAAATGAGATTGGAGAATAATAAATCAGGTTTAGAAAAAATACACTCATCTCTGATATGAACTCCTATAGACCAGTTTACTTTTCTACTAAGATATTCAAATATACGGATATATCTTTCCTGGGGACCTAGTGACGAGCTATTCCATTAAACCGTTATTAATGAATGAACTACATCACTGAAAATCCATTCTGCATACAATATCTGTTGCTATGTCGGAAAGCCTTGGGCAAGCTTTCAGGTTGTCAAGAACAACCTTTGTTTAAAAAGTATGCATAAAATTTGAATATGTTAGTTAACAGATTTATCGGATTTACACATTCCCAAAACACACATAAGTCACACCAACAAAAGGGAGACCAGCTGGACAACAGACCAAAAAAGAAATGACATTACCCTAAATGGAAAAGAATGGGTCGGTCTGAAATCGTTTAACCGCTTGACCGATACCATATACCTTCTAGTGACAGCGCACAGAACATATAATTGTCACAACACCATACCATGAAGAGGGGATGGCAGTCTTTTTCCCCCAACTATTCAAACTGTCCCACCCAGAAAAACCACAGGGGCCCCGTTTCATAAAACTTGTTATCTATAGCAACTGCTAAATTTCTATGACAAATTTGCTCTCAGCCAATCAGGTGCCATGATTTCAGTAGCTTATAACAGTAGCTTGTAACTTGGTATTGGTATCAAGTTTGATCTCAGCCAATCAGATGCCTGATTTCAGTAGCTTATAAAAGTAGCTTGTAACTTGTTATTGATATCAAGTTTTATGAAACAGGGCCCAGAACTGTCAAAAGAAAGAAAGGCTCAGCTCCAATGAAAATAATACATCTTACAGCGACTTTTAAATATCTTATATGCCTTGGGCAGGCAAAATATATTTCAGTATATAGTTTGTATGTATACACTTAATCTAATGTATAATCTTCTCTGCCTTCCATGTAACAGACTAATTGGCCCGAATTCACAAAGAAGGTTTGTCAAAAAACCTAGGTTTATGTGCGTCATATGACGTGTTTTTCCAAACCTTGCTCTGTAAAAACGTGTCAAAATGCTTCATGTGACGCACATGTCGACAAACCTCCTTTGTGAATTTGGGCCATTGGGTTAATTGAAGTCTAGAAAAGAAGTTAACTTTTTACTACATCATAATGCTGATATTGCATGAAGCAACATTCAGGTACCCTCACTTGCCATTTTTTAACAACATTCAATGGTTTATTTTTGCCGTAGTGGTTTATCACATCACAGGTTAATAATAATTCTATCATTTAATGTTTTGTTACAGATCGTAATAACAGTAGAAGACATAGAATAACAATTCATGAATGATGAATCATAACATATCAACGATCTGAAACCTACCTGAAAATTTGGCTCAGCACAACAACAAAAAAACATTGAATAAATATATGGACTTAACTATTGAGGTACAGGATGACTAGCTGTTAGTAGAGACATAGGAGTGGAAGGCAAGACCAAAGGAACTGGTGATGAACCAGGTCACACAAACCCACCAAATCAAGAAGGAAAAGATGCCTTTGAAGAAGACGGGAGAGAAGACGTGTTTAAGGACTGATAAAGCGAACGCGAGCTGGGCTTTAGCTTCACGCACAGGGTTCACAAACGCTGCTACGTCGTCTGCGATCGTTGATGATGACGATGATGAGGATGATGATGAGGGTGATGGTGGAGAGTTTGGCATGGCTGTTGCACTTGCATTTGTAGCGTTTGATTGGAAGTGGTCGAATACCCCATACGAGTACCCAGCTGAAGGAGAAAAAAGTCATTCAATTGTTAATTCAATTCAATTCAAAGTTTATTCAACACTCCTCATAAAAACATTTAAAACATACAAATACAGAACGGAGTTATTAAAAAAAAAACAAGAAAGTGATAACAAATACAATGGCAATTTATAAGAGCATTTGGGATAGGCAGAAAGGAGGGAAGTTCCTTATATAAAAGCCTACCCCTAAAAACACACATACAGGAAAACGAGAACAGAAGAACAGAACAAAAAACAAAGAACATACTAAAACTTACTATCATGCACGATCAGAGTAAAACAAAATTAGAAAAGAGTAAAAAAAAAAAAAGAGTAAAAAAAAAGAAATGGGGCATTAAGATTACAGTGAACATCATTTGGAAATTTTATTCATTTTAGACTTGGCACCATCCATGGACTACACTAACATTGAATCTTTCTTTCTTGAGTGTTTTGTAGCCCTAAAAAGGACTGTCGGTAATCTTTCTTGAGCTTATAGTTCTAAAGAGAACTATAGCGCCGGTTCGAGAGGATGGGTAGTAGGGGGGGGGGCTCTTTAATTTTTGATCTTACAATACAGGCCCTATGGTGTTTTGGACGTATTATAACCGTCAATTCTCAGTATCACATATAAAATTTGAAATATGTTACTCCAAACTGGACTCAATAAATTCTTTCTATTTTTAGTTTTTCACAAGACAAATGGGAGAGTTATTTGCGATGTCACAATCCACTGACCAAACTGCCAATTTGAGATTTGCAAAACTGTAGTGATCTCATATTTCAAACATTCATGACTTTCTTATTATTGGTCTGATGTATTTCAAACTTTTGCCATTCTTTTATCTTCTTTTTCTGCATTCATACAAATGAACTTATTACAAGCATTGGATGTAGGTGTAGGCTAGACCCTCCCCCCAAAAAAACAAAACAAAAAAACAAACAACAACAACAACAACTTAATGAGGAAAAGATATGTTCTAAGATTCTTACCTGATGTTTTTAATAGGCAACTGAAGCAGAAGAGAAGAATAACTGGTGCGATGTACTGGAGTGCCACAACACACAGATAATAGAAGACTCGGATTACCTATAAAAATTGAATAATAAAGATTAATTTCACAGAGTTAAGATTACAAAGAAGAACACAAGCAAAACATAAACACTTTTGCAATAGAATATTTAAAGCATTGCTATGGAACACCATTACTTGCATACTGAAATATTAAGAGGGTATGCTTGGAAACTGAAGTAAATCAGATCAGACCAGATCATAGCAAAGTGGATTTTTTTTTTTGGCAGAAGGTGACAAAGTTATGAATAAATAATTAAATAGAATATTATCCTGGGGGGTGTTTCACAAAGATCCTAAGTAGATCTTAACTCTAAGTTGGACTTAAAAATTATGGACAGCAAATGGAGTCTTAAAATGAAATATATTCAAAAGCAGAAATTCAAGTATTTTAGACTTTTTATAAATTCCACATCCAGAACATGAAATCTCCTTGATGATAGAAAATATGAATGATTTGAATAAACAATTAATGCCTTTCAAACTAACTTGTACAAAATGTTTTCAAAGATGCTAATGGCTTTCCATAATTTTTAAGTCCAACTTAGAGATAAGTTCAACTTAGGATCTTTGTGAAACACCCCCCAGGTCTATTACCAACTTGTTTATTCCTAACTTCCATCATCCATGCAACTTTAATTTGCAACTCATGCCAAAAGCAACTACCTACATCTAAACACTCACTTCTTCCTCCTTTTTCTTATATATTCCAGCTCTCCCTCTTAAACCCTTGTCATAAAGATATATGATTGATTCAAGAGGAGTGCAAGCCCTACAATCAACCACTTACAAACATCTCTGCCAATCTCTTCCTCTCCCTCTCACCTTTTTCTGTAGATCAAGACTGTTGATCCTTCCAGCCTCTTTCCTCATTTGTTCTATTCTCTCATGAGCCATATTGAGATACGCTTGTAGATACTGCGTCATCAGAGCCAGGCGGATCAGGGCAAACAGGGGGATGAAGCTGATCCGAACAATGTCAAATGTTTCATCACTCATTCTGAATGAGAGAGAGAGAGAGAGAGAGAGAGAGAGAGAGTGAAAGAGAGAGAGAAAGAGAGAGAGAAGAGAGAGAGAGAGAGAGAGAGAAGAAAGAGAGAGAGAGAGAGAGAGAGAGAGAGAGAGAAAGAGAGAGAGAGAGAGAGAGAGAAAAAAGAGAGAGAGGAAGAGAGAGATGCCCAATAGCTATTATAAGTCTGTTACATATTCAGGTAGTAAGAATATTACTAATGACCGGTCATTAATAAAATTACGTGTTAGGCAACATAAATGCCTGGTCACGTCTACGCTATCAACCAATCATAGATTAGGATCCGCTTCATCATGTTAGAACCGTTCTTAATAGAGCAGGAAGAACTACTTATACAGTACTGATATATGGGGAATATCTTTTTCGTTAATACATTTTTAAACTGAATTTTACAGACTTAGTGGAATAACATGGCAGATGAAAAGGTGTAATGTGACATTGATTTGGGGACAACAGAAAGTCAAACACAACACATGCTCATTTGAGAACAATTGGGAAGGAAAAGGCTTATTATATTTATTTTAAATAACATGAAATACACAAGTATTATAATAGATCATAAAAAATGCAGCCTGATCAATGAGGTATAATGAGACAATTCAGTCAAAATTAGAAAATCAAATGAGTTTGTTGTTTTACTTACAATGCATCCCCAGTCATATTGACTTTCTTGCCCAGTGTAGGACTCCTAACATAATCTCTTGCTATTGGCTTCACCCACAGTAGGGCAATAAGTAGAGGGAACAGGAAACTGGTATGCAGAAGAATCCTGAAATACAAAGGATGGACACAAAATAAAAATTAGTTATGATTCTCCTTATGATCTTCTTTACCCAGAATAAGAGCATTTGCACACCTAGGCATCGTTTCATAAGTAGACTAAAAGTTCATCGACATCCCATTGAAATGCATGTTAATTGCAATACATGCATGGGGTGTTAACAAATTTACACTAATAATTATATACATACACATTCTTTTCATTAAACATAAAACACTTTTCAAATCTCCTTTCATTCATTATCGCAGGTGATTTTCAAGCTTATGCAAGGAATCACAAGCTTGGTTTCTCAGAATTCTGACAATGTAATGCTTGCAAATCAATGAGAGATACAAATGACTGATGACCAAACCAACATTTATTCACACTCTATCGTACTCTTTTTACACTTGTTTTGCTTAACCCCGTACTTTGGTTAGCCCCATACTATCCTTTACCCCAGACAAACTTTATTGGCTTTTCACACATGCTTTTTTAGTCCTGTACTAAGCACCTATCCCGGAATAAGAAAATTCATGGTGTTCTCACTGCAATTTGTTAGCCCCATACTAGCTGTATAGCATGAATATTCATAAATTTGCTCCATTGCGCAGTATCCGACTATTTGTTGTTTCTGTTCTTATTCAATTGCTTGGCACCGCAATTGCGCGTTAACCCTACTTATTTGCAGGGCCAGCTAACCCTGTACTATAGGTGGGGCTAGCCCACTTTGGTAAATTTGTGTCTGAACAGAAAGTGAAATAAGCTAAACCCGGACTATAGGTGGGGCTAAGACCCCCCTTTAACCAAACACTATGAACATGACAGACAAAGAAAGCGGACAAAATATACAGTTTGTCAGGTAGATAAAGGAACATCCCTTCACTGCCATTATGTAAAAAGGTGAATATGCATGTGACACCTGTTCTACACATTTTTACATAATAGCAGTGAAGGGATCTTCTTTTGTCTACCTGAGGAGCTGTATATTTTGTCCGCTTGCTTTGTCAGTCATGTTAATAGTGAAACCTATAGTCAGGGGTTAGGCAAAATTTTGCCAGTGTGAAAACAGTATAAAATAGAACAGAATACTCACTGCATATGTGGTAGATGAGCATTATACTTGAGAGCATCAATATGCATCTTCGCCAGTCGTAGACCAGGGAATGTCATGAACGCTCCGAGCAGGGCTGCTACGAAGGCCAGGAGGAACTCAAAGGTGGTGCGTGACATGGGACCCTGGGATTCAAGCTCACTGTAGGCTAGGTGCTCATGGGCTCCTTGAAGGAAATCATCATAGGCTAGAGAGGAGAGGAGATTCAACATCAGGTAATGTTCTCAGGTTAACAATGCTTTAAGTTAATCTTAAATAAAGCTTACACTGCATGCTATAATCTATAAACGATTAAAAACAATCAGCAACTGTTCTCAAGTTAACAACTTTAATTGCTTAAAGGCATCGTTTAACAATGTTTCTAGTTTTACAAATCTAAGATGCATGGCCGGGGTAATCTGTAAAGCGCTTAGAGTCATCGTAGATGGTTTACGTGCTATGCGCTATATAAAAGCGGAATATCATTATTATTCAGGCAAAAAATTAAGTTTTTCATTTCGGGGGCTCCATTTCAAATTTGTTGGAAATTTTCGGGGGCTACTTTTTCAACTTTCGGGGACTCTTTTTTTCCATTTTGGGGGCTCTTTTTTCTGGGGCTACTTTTTCATTAATTCTTAAAAGGATAAGCCTACAGTTTGTTGAGATTTGTTGAGTAGGCTAAGGTTTCGGGCTTCCTGCTTCATAATTGCCTATTAAAAAAGAAACCCCCTATTTCTAGTTCAATAACTAAGTTTTCATGCATTGATTTGATTTTGTGATTATTTCTGGCCATGAATTTCGATAATCATTTTTCAAAGTAAAGTTTTCACAAGAAAATCAGACAGTTGTTTAAAAACGTAGACAATAGTAATACTTTTACTAATTCTAAGCTCAGGTTTCGTACGTCTATTCACAAAACTATATTGAAATCGCAGCAATAATGATGCAAACCAACAGATAACAATTTCAAAGTGTCAAATCTCTTTGACTCGAGTTTGGCTAGCTCAGCTCAGCTCAACTCACTTACACCGCACAGCGGCAATGCACTGTATTGTATGCGTGTCAGTCACAGTGATTTTGTTTGATTTTCTTTACTTTGAAGAAATGATTATCAAAATTATGTAAACATGGCAAGAATAATCACAAAATAGGCTTTAATTTCATACCTCTATTAATGGAAACTTTATAAAATTGCGGCAATCGTGAATTCGTGATGGAAATTGATTGCAGTTTCGCGATGTTTAGGTCTAGATTCAGGTAATATGATCTACCAAAACAAAATCGACCATCAAAAACTCGACCCCTACGCTCCGTCTCGATCTCGCAACTGGGAAAATGTATGTGTTTTGGCGTACTTCTGTGCGACATGGTAAGCCAGGTTCGAGTTTTTTTACGACTGATTTTTGTGTATACAATTTTACACGGAGATTCAGCGCGCGGACCAAGAAATGCACTCAATGAATATGAAGCTAGACGAGAGCGCGCGGCCGCTCGTAATTGTTTCGGGGGCGATTTGAGATCATTTCACTTTTTGATGTCGCCCCCGAAATCGGATTTTGAGCCTATTTTGGGGGCTGTTTATTGTGTTTTCGGGGTGAATCCGCCCTCCGCCCCCAGTGTATTTTTTTGGCTGTTATTATTACATGCATGGGACAGAACACCTGGACTTGACCGATACTTACCATCGTCCACTCCAAACTCCAGGTAGTTTTCATCAATCACAATGACCGCCATGGCTACTATAAGGAATAAGAAACCAAAGGTAACACACAGGACCATCTCCCCGGCATCATCGGACTTGAAGTAGAGAGAGGTCAGTGAGAACAACACATGTCTGAAGGGCATTCGTCAAGGACAATTAATATATATTCATTTATTAATGTCTTTTTCAAAATGCATGGTACGTATATTCAGTGGAAATACTGCTTTACAAGTACGCCCTTTAGACTTTTGCTCACAAGTTTGAAGCAATGTATTGGACTTCAATATTTTCTCATGATGTGAAAAGTTCTATATCAAATAATGAAGGCTAGTCATGGTAATTCATCTTGCCTCCTTTAAGATATGATTAGAAGGGTGCAAATATGAGGTCACCTTTAGGTATTACAAAATAATAATGAACCAACTATAACCATAGATTTCTAGGAAATTTTGAACTTGATTAGATATATTACTTACAAAGTTAGCCATTAATCTCTGTGAAAAGCAACTTTAATTCCAATGTTCTTCTTGCTTCAAAATGTATGCTAGAACCAAAGTGCTTACATGTATATGACAATCCTTGATTTTTTTTAATTCCACCGATTCTGTCACAATAATAGCCAGTTTCCACAGATGTTCAAAAGGATACAACGTGAAGAGAAGACCCATGACCATCCAAATGAGACTCAGATTAAGATCGCCCTTGGTGTCGACCAGAGCATAATACGCTTCAGTCACCGTGTACACCACCGTCGCCATGACAGTGAAATCTAGAAGCCATTTGAACTCTCCGTAGTAGCGGATGGTGAGGAGGTGGGACGGCTGGAGGGTCTCACTGCCGAGGTCTATGTCAATGTTCTTGGGCACAGTGAATGTCTGGTCGCCCAAGGCAGCACCGTTCCTCTTGTTGAAGTTTTCGGGTCTGTTGTTTTTAAAAGGATGAATTATATTTAACATATCTTTTCATATCTTGTTTCATTTACTGCTTAGATGTGATCACAAAATATTTTTTGGGTTTCTATAAAGAAATTATCATATTGAGGCATTCTTTCAATATGTATTTTTTTTAAATGAATAGAGTGAAATCATGCAAATCTGACATGTGTGGGCTGTCATCTGCAAAGAACTTAACTTTTTTTTCCCCAGTCAGAACATGATCAAACCTGGGGGTGTTTCACAAAGATCCTAAGTAGAACTTAACTCTAAGTTGGACTTAAAAATTAGGAAGAGCCATTTGTAGCCTTAAAATGAAATATATTCAAAAGCAGAAATTCAAGTTTTGGACTTTTCATAAATTCCACATCAAAAACATGAAATCTCCTTGATAATAGAAAATATGAATTATTTGAATCAACATTTTATGCCTTTTAACTATCTTACAAAATATTTTCAAAGATGCTAACAGCTTTCCATAATTGTTACAATGTACATGTAAGTCCAACTTAGAGATAAGTTCAACTTAGGATCTTTGTGAAACAACCCTCAGATGATCAGAATATTTGATCAAACTTGTACTGTGAAGAGGTAAGATATCTATGGATACATCAAACATTCGTACATTGGAATAAGCATTTTTATCACAAAATGGCTAGAGGATGATCGATCCAAATTTCTTGGAATACCTGTTTCTCTTATGTCTTCCTCTACTCTGGATAATCCCTGCAGCTTTCTTCAGGTCATCGTCGGATGGATAATTGAAGTACTTCAGATTTCTGTGTAGAAAGATCATATGAACTTAAAGTGACTTGAAAACATTGTTGAAGGTTGATGAAAAAAATTGCTTAATTTTTGTATAAAATGTTACTTACTATATTCCTTCTTCTGTACTAACCCTCTGACATGCAAAAAAATCCTGAAAAATTCTCCAACCACAAAGATATCTATGGTTTTCTTTGAAGGCGTCGATGTACGACACCCTCTAACAGTGATTAACAGTAAATTCTCCCAACCATTCTTGAATTTTCCCAACTGTTTTTCCATGAAAAAAAGACATAAAACAGGCTATAAAAAAATCTGTCAACACTTAAATGTCTGGAATGGAATGTAGAGCCATTTTATTGCTTTGTGACAATTTCCATTCACCTAAAATGTAATTAAATTGTAATAATATAGTTGGGAGAATTAAGGAATCAATCAGATCAGTTTTCCAAATTTGTACCATTGTACCATGAATAATGGTCCATTTTCACTCAAATTTTCAGATTCTCTTTAATTGTACATCTAGCATTGAAGTCACTACCTTAGCACCACTATCTCTCATCTGAACAATGTTACCCAGTCCCTTTAAGGCCTTTAAAAAAAGGTGTTGTATTGCCCTCTAGGTGTCAAAACATGGGTTGGTCGGTCGGAAATCTTTTCTTTTAAAAAATTTGTTGTTGTTGTTTACTCCCTCTTTCAGTTTTGAATGCTTGAAAAAAAAATCTTCTAAAAAACTGTAAAAAAAAAAACCTTTTTTAAAAAGCTGACGGTAGATATCAAGATTTTTGGGTCGGTTGCAAAGGGCAATACAACATTTTTTTTTTAAAGGCCTAACAGTCAAATTAAGGGAGGTCAAGATAACAAATTCTCGCAAAGCTTGCCAATAAGAACCAATCACCGGGTTAGTACTTGAATCTAAAATAAGATTAAATTGAATTGAATTGAATTGATTTATTTGGATCTTTAATCAACATCATGAATTCTTTTCAATGCTTATACTGTTTGATTGACAATCAGATATTCTATATTAGTCATACAAATCTGTAACTGCTGCACTTAAGAGTTTTAATAGATAATGGCTCTCCATCAACATATCCCCCCCCCCCCCCCACAACTGCTCATTGTAACTTCATGGATTTCTAAATACAGGTTACACTGCAGCCACCACTTATTAGGTGCACTGAATTAATCACTCAATTTATTCTAATAATGGTATGGACTGTGGGATGAGATCCAGAAGCACCTAGAATCCAGTGGAAAAGGCACTATACAGATGATTATATATCCCTCTCTTTAGAAATCTAGCCATCTGATTAGTCGAAATTGCAGTCGTGATTTTGGATATTCCCTTAAAGAGACAAGCAAATGGCCAATAGTTCATGAGTGATATCCGTTGCCCCGGGTAACAGGCCACATAAATCAATTGTGCACACATCCCCATTAGTTTACGTCTTAAAATTTTCTTTGTGCGAGCGCGGACACCATACAGTGCTTTTTGTCTGCGATTCCTAAATCATTTTACAAGCGATAATAAACAGACAGTTTCTCAAAGCAGTCGATATCTCTATATTATCATGCAAATTATCCTATTTTCTTGAAAGAGGGGGAGCTTAGCTAAGTACTAACCCTCTAGCAAGGAGCCATTGAGCAAAGGAGTGATAGGGTACAATGACCTTCTGCATGATACTGGACATGACCAGGGTAAACACCAGCTGAGGACCTAGCAGAGGCTGAAAAAATAAACAAAGCAAAACAAAACAAACAAACAAAATTACACACATGAATACAATTTTCCTGATTTTCCTCAACAACTGCATGATTACCGGTAGTATCCAATTCAATATTGAACCTAAATACAGTCAAACCTGCTTTAGTGACCACCTGTCTACAAAGACCACCTGTCTACAGAGGCCACATTTGTTGTTCCCTTGAAAAAGGTTTCTCATTGAATCATGTACTAAAGGAACCTGTCTACAAAGACCACCTGTCTACAAATGCCACTTTTTGTGTTTCCCTTGAATGGTCGTTATAAACAGGTTTGACTGTATATTTTTATAGTAGTACTAGTACCTGTCCCTTCTTAATAATAATAATTACAGTGCTTATATAGCGCCTAACACTTACTTTGTCAGAAGTCTCTAAGCGCTCTACAATAATGCAGCATAATAACAACTGGAGTAACAGGAGGTAGAAGTCTGACAGGCATGAGCGTTACCAAGAAACAATTATTATTTTGTACACATGAGCTCTCCAATTTAAACTCTGCCCCCCCCCCCCCCCTCTCCAATTTAGATATACACAGCTGGACCCCTTTTTAAATATTTCAACTTAGCTTCGGATGATCTGGAGGGCATTTCACAAAGCCTTTTTTCAATGACAAATGACAAAAATCAGTGACAAATCTGCTGATAACCAATCAGAAGCAAGGATTTCAGTAGCTTATAACAAAAAATGTCATTTGTCACTGATGACAAGTTTTGTGAAATGCCCCCCAGAATATCAATCTGAATATCATTATTAATGCAACATCATTGCATAAAGATTGCATAGATAAAGCTTTATCTGTAATAATGGAAATAGAACAATGGTATCAGCTTGTGTCTCCAGACACATACATGTAGACTCATTAAAATGACAGAGCGTTGTGGCGTGGGCCTGTAAACCAGCTAATAATGTAAATTACAAACTGATTCAGCCGAGGACGAAGGCTTGAAACTGAGTCACATCTTTTGGATGGTGATGTTAAAAGTCAGTCCCCAGACATAAATAATCATATCTGATTGATACACGTCTGTAAAAACCCAATTACACACCCACTGAATTGATGAATGCACTCTACAAGTAGTAAATAAAATGTCAAGTGTACAGTTCACATTCTTACCATGGTGGAATTTTGTTAGATCACGACGATGAAGAAGTTGGTGGATCTCTGCAACAAGAAAATGAAAGAATATCAGATATTAATCGTTTTTAACCAACTATCATTGGTCCGTTATCCTTCATTGTAATTGCAAGTGTAACATGTGTGCATCATACTTTCATACCAAAATTTCGCCATTTGAAGTACGTAATGACAATTAATATAAGAAAGAACTATCTATACTTTCTTATGACTGATTTATGAATCAGACAATTAGATCTAAATAAAGAAAAACAGGAAAGTTTTTCAACCGATTCTGGCAAAAATCGCTAGTTTTCTCCCCTCCCCCTCCCCCTCCCCCTTGTGCAAGCCTTAAGGGATACCGTCTGAGTATGGGGAAGGTTGACAAATGTCATAAGAAAGAACTATCTATACTTTCTTATGACTGATTTTTTAATCATACATTTAGATCTAAATAAAGAAAAACAGGAAACAGCAGTTACAGTTTGAAAATACCCTCCCCTCCACGCTTTGCATATTGTGCTATGCAGCTGTTGAGCAAAAATTATAACTAGGCGTGTACCAATTTTTGTCAGAATGGAAAAAAAATTGGAATTTTGGATGAATATATTGCCTAGATTTTGGGGGCCTGTATCTTTTGATAGAAATGCCTTGATTGAAATTTGAAATGTGTTTTTCTTAGTAGTGGATTTTTTCAATTATCCAACCATAATGGTGAAAAAAAATCCAAAAGGGAACATTGAAAACCGTTCAAACACCATGGCTTAGCTTAGTAGTAGTCTAGAAGCAAGATTGCCAGCAAAACACCAGCAAAACACAGAGCCTGAAAATTTCACTTTTCACAAAAGTCAAATAGTCAAGAGTCGTGGCAGCCGGCGTTGCGCAAAACTCAAAAGCTTTCGTCCCTGATATCGACGGTTGTTCCGCTGAGATTACATCTGACGTTGACAAATGTCAGTTTTATTAAAGAATGACCCATACCAGACGGTTATTTCTGTCTAGCACGTAGTGTTGCGCATTGCGTTATAGGTGTAGCTTTAAACATGCATAGCCATATGTAGAAGTCTATTGCGAAACAACTACGTGTGCTGTCGTAATGAATTTAGTATGTGTGTGAAGAGGAGCTCTTCCGTGTTCGCTCCATCACAGCTGATTTCCAAATGATGCACTTGCCTATGTGCAAGAGGTATTTATACGATACCCTTGCCATGCGGTATTGTTCTCCCAGTATTCGGTCAACGAATTGACACCCAGTGCTTTGTTGCGCAATTGTGTGAAAATAGTGCGCAAATACGCTTTGCTCCTTGTCAACGGAGATACCACGCACAAATTGTGTGACCGAATTCTAGGCAGAAAATTGCTACCCTACTTTAGTGACGATTGATGACACCTTAATAGCAGTAAAATACAATTTTTCAACTTTCTGATGTTAGGAAGAATAATCTAAATATACAAATTGTGAGTCTAGTACTCTAGTAGGCCTACAGCTAAGTCTCCTGTCCAACTTGCCGATCAGCTGCATCAGCATGATTGTGTGCATTTGTGTGCTGCGAGTGAGTGTATTAATGCAGAGCTACCAAGTAGGGTCTATCACGCATTAGATCTAGGCGTGACATCACACATTTTGAGGGTCTAGAAATGCTCTCACGCACGACGCGCGCGCTAGATTTTGAAAAACGCTAGGTCTATACCTTATACGTGTGTTATACCCTCGCCTGCACGCTCGCGCGCTGATTCATGATGCAAATGTTATGCATTGCTGATCTTTGAACTTGGCATCTCTGTCGGCTCTAGTCTGACTCTGGTATTGACTATTCATGTATTCAAATGCTGCCTATATAATTAACACGTAGTGGAGTGCTAGAGGTTAATACGCATTAGTATTGACTCTCTATGATTTGCTGGAGTGGAAATTGACCGCAAAAGGGGTTATTTGCATTTGTGGTAACGGTCATAGACGCGTCACCCTCTGCGGGGGAGTGACCCAACCGGGCACCGCCGACAAACAGACAAGCAAGCCATGCCAAGCAGCCGGCGAACCCGGCGAACCCGGCGAAGAGTCACTCAGACTCAGACTTTGTAATATCCTTATTTCATGCATCATACACCTTGTTCTACCTATCTACGAATAACAATTTTCAAGTAGAATTATTATTCTAAGGAAATAAAAGATAACATACCTCATGCATCAGCATTGGAAGCCGGAAGAGGCCTGAAAATGTAGGATATCTCGAATGATTGAAATTTGCCACAACAAATGACCGGAAATAACGTTCAATTATTTCGTGATTTATGCTGTAGCGCGAGCGCGCCCTCTATATGTCTTAGCGGAACAAAGCGTATTTTTTTTTTTTTTTTTTTGTAGTATTTTTTATTGTCGTCATTCATTACATAAACATTTGATTTGATTTGATTTGAATTTATTTCCATAATTCACAAATAAATTTGAACAAGTAGGATCTAGTTATACAAACAAACAATACATTAAAAAACTAAATACAATTAAAGGAATAAATTGAAGACTAAAGTACAATAAAATATTACATAATCAACAATTTGTTTGTAATTAACATAACGTGAAATATTGGGGAACCAAAAAGAAGCAATGCTTGCAAAAAATTTGGTTCCCAGGGGAACCAAATACATGTACATGTACATCATACAAATACAAATTATTTCAAATTACTTACATAACATAACATAACATATATATACAATATACACAACTCAGTTATTTTGAACGAAAAAAAATCTTTTCTTAATAACCCCCTTTCCCAAATTAAAACACAAACGGATATTTAAAAAAATTATATAAGATTTTTTTTTTAATTAAAAAAAAAAACCAACCCCCCCCCAAAAAAAAGCAAAAAAAACGTGAGCAGTCCATGGCAGTCGAGAGCGGTCAAAAATATGAAATGAGCGGACCCCTCCGGTCCTCATCCATTAAAGTTGGAGCTGAAGTGGCTGAAATCGAAATGCGATTGAACAAGGTGGGGTAATAAATGGGGAAGGGAGCTACCGGGGAAAGGGGGAGTTCCGGGGGTGGGGGGGGGGGGGGTCACTCTCATACACAAGTGCTACTCACCCGTGTCCATCAACCTCTGAAACTGGACCCTGATGGCGCATCGCAACTTTTTTCGAAGAAATGGGTGTTAGAAAAGGGACCTATACGTCCCAATATGCAGGGTAAGGTGCATTAAAAAAACTTTTTTTTTGAGTGCTTGAAATGCAAAAGTCTCTAAAGCTCATTCGTTCCACCTTGCAAATGTTGTTTCAGGATATCGTAATGTTTGCGCCCCTGATTAGGATATGGCTGATGAATTTAACAATGATTTAATATTTTAAAAAATAATGAACAGCATAATCCCAGTGCTTTGCTAGCTTGTATTTAAGTTTCACACGCCTTTTATTAAATATTGCACCCCAATATAATAGTTGAGTAGACATTTTGTAAAGGTTCAACAATTGAAAGAAATCGTCTGCTCGAGCCGATATAATCCCTGGAAACTGCGTGTACTCTGCTTCATTGCTGTTGGCTGTCGACCACGAAGAGCTGTATAGCTTTTAAAAAAATATATATGTATATATTTTAAAAGAAAGAAAAAAATTAAAGAAAAAGAAGAAACAAGAATGAAAGAAAAACGAAAGAAAAATCTTATATGTCCTTTTTGCAGCCAACATCAAATTCTGTAGAACTTTGCAGGAATTATGAATATGTTATGTATGTCATATCTGTGAAATTTAAACTTGAGCAGTGTCCTAATATTCAAATTATGCAAGGAAACCCGTTTACTTGCTAGACTTCACTGTCAGACACTATTGAGTGACTGACTGGCTTTTTTCATCTTTGGTAATACCATACATAAAATGAGCTGTAAAGGGTACATGAGCATTTTGTCTACATCATACCCACTTCTTGTGATGGCCAAAATTAAACTGATTTAATCTTTGCGCAGCATAAAACGTACGACCATTCGGGACAATGGTCTGAAAAATCAGACTATTACTTACTGGCTCTATAGCTCCTCAGTTGATTTAACAACTAATAGTCGTTATTTTCCCACTTAAAGACATTTTCAAGCCCTCTTTTTTTTAGGGAAGTTCTAAATAATATATCGTCTTTCAAATGCCGTTCATTTTAACCTTTTCATTTTTTTGGGCCGGCAAATGGGACCTAGTACCTTAAAGGAGCAAGATAACATTGATACAATGTCTTCAATTCGTTCTTTTATCTACCGCTTGTTTTTAATACCATGTTCGTTGTTTCTTTCCTTTTTCTCTTCTCTCTCCTTCTCTTTCTCTTATTTGTTTCTCTAATCTTAAAGTGACTCGGTAACATCGTTGAAGCTTGATGAAAAAACTACGTAATTTTTGTATGAAATTTACTTATGTTATTCCTTCTGCTGTACTAACCCTCTAACATGCAACAAATCCTGAACAAATTCTTGAACCACATAATTATTGATGGTTTTCTTCGAGGCAATAGTGTGACACCCTCATACAGTAAATTCTCACAACCAATTTTGAATTTTTCAAACCGTTTTTCCATGAAAATAAGACATAAAACAGGCCTTTAAAAAATCCTTTGCTAAAAAGGCAGGGCTATTTGAGTTCTTAGTACGGCCGGGGGGCAATATGCCCCCCCCCCCCTTAAGATCTCGGCCGTGAAACGGCCGATCTCCGCGTAAATTTGCACGCGTGTCAAGTGCAGTGTATAGAATACTATGATAATTTAAATTTTTTGAAAAATTTGCTTATTTGCATATTTATGGTAATTTATGCAAATATGGTCATAAATCACATTTTTACCCAGAAATCATATATTATTTATATTTAAGCATTCCTTTTCACTACACATATTCATTAGACCATGAGGAATACAACAACAAATTTGGAAGAGCCAGCTTATTCCTTATGTTATCTCTTGTTTTGATAATTCTTATGTATTTCATTGTTTTTAATTTTTATTGTTTTATTTCATTTCTAACTACAATTCAACTTGTTTGACTCCCAAAACAACCACCTAAACTTTAAACAAGACCCAATAACCAATGTTTGATCTTTTTTTAGGAAAAATGATATTTCCATATGTGTTGTACACAAATCACGAAAATGAGCGATTTTCGGGCTGACATGCAAAGGCAAAAGATCACGTGACCTTGTAACTGTAGGTCCGATTTTCAAAAAAATTATTTTAAAAGATGCGCAAGACTCGAAAGAAAAGAGTCTGCGAGACGCGGGGCGCCGTCCATATGCGTTCTCGAACAGTCAGAAAAATCGTGGAGGGGGGGGGCATAATGGCCCGGCCTTAGTAGGTTAACTGTTTGGAATGGTATATAAAGCAAATGCATTGCTTTGTGATGATTTTCATTCACCTAAAATGACATGAAATTGTAATAATATAGTTGAGAGAATTAAGGAATTGATCAGATCAGTTTTTCCCAATTTGTATCATTAATAATAGTCTGTTTTTTCACTCAAACTCTCTGATTATCTATTATTGTACATTTACCATTGAAGTCACTACCTTAGCACCATTTTCTCTCATCTGAGCAATGTTATTAAAAAAAGGTAGAAAATGCAATAAATTTTCAATAATTTATTGCATTTTAACCCGGTTCCCAACATACAAATCTTCTGTGTGCCCATGCCTTGAGCCATAATGCATGGCCGTCCAGAGGATTTTTTTATGTTGGGGACCGGGGTAAAATGCAATAAATTATTGAAAATTTATTGCATTTTCTGTGTTTTTTTTTTATTTATGGAAACTGCCCCCTACCCTAGCCCCCGCTGCGTACAGTCATGGTTCAGTGACAAAACAATGACCTCGTAACTGTGAGGCCCCAGGATCAAAACCGTGTCGATGTGCTATATTAGTGCCCTTTTGTGGGGCATTAATCCTCGTAACTGTCATTTATGACTTGAGGGCATAGGTCCCCTAGTTAATAAGCATAATAGCATACACAATTGCTTTAGCAGTCACGCAAAACACACATTGGAAAATTATTATTCAATAAAACCTGAGAATGTATACTATTATATAGATCTATTATTTTTAAATAATTTTAAAAATAATTCCATAAATTGGGGGTAAAACTAAAATATTCCACCTTTATGAGCGACAGTGTATTATCTTGTTACTCATTTTCAGTTATCATGATTAGATTGTGCTTTAAACCCCACCAGTATTGTTTTTCCTCTTCATAAAATGTAATTTGTCAAACTATGCGACGTCACAAATCTGTATTATTTGCTGTCTCGCTTTGCTCTCTTGCAAAAGAATATTCAGACTATCACATTCAACTGCAAAGTTAGAGGCTTAAACAGTATGTTGGACTATGTAAAGAGAACAATAAATATTGAAATCATCCCTGACAATGTAGGTCTAATCACGATGTAGGGGTATTTAATGTATACAGATTATTGTATATTCTCGCTTTAAAGGTAATACAAAGTGTTGGGAAATTTTAAAAATTGGTTGGATAGTGGTTCTTTACACTTTTATTATATTTGGATGCCTCTGTGGATGTAATAAGCACTAGAAAATTTAGTCCCTAAAACACTTCCGCTTTCGAGAAAAATTGAATATCAAATAGCGCTTACAGTCATACAATGGTAGCTGCGACCATGAAAATCTCGGAATATGTAGTTCTGATATATAATTTACAAACGGGAATAGCCAATCGGTCAATTTTAGTCAAGAAACATTGTTTCATGGGTTAATTAATATCTTGACCTTGAGGGGAGCTATACAATATAAAGAGTTTATTATTTACAATTTCATAACTTTAGACTCGATTTCAACCGCGACAATGATCACTGAATATTGTAGGATCGCATATGCTTCTAATATATTCATTTAAACCAAATTCATGACCCCATACTAAAACTTTGTATTACTTTTAAGGTTTTCCTTTGGAGATGCCCCTTTTCTTCTAGAAAGTCCCCCTTTTTGTTATCCCCCCCAACTTTAGAAGATGCTCAGCCCCCTCGAGCGAGGAGCATGTCAACGCGATGTTGTCCGCACGAAGCGACTATTTTTCAGGTGCGAAAGCCCCGTGTTACACTTTAAGACGGTTAAGACCATGGTGCACTTTAAGACCTTAAAGGTAATACAAAGTTTTGGGAAATTTTGAAAATTAGGTGGATAGTGAATCTTTACAATTTTGATATATTTGGATGCCCCTGTGGATGTATTATAAGCACTAAAAAAAATAGCCCCTAAAACACTTCTTTTTTCGAGAAAAATTGAATATAATAATTTACCGGTGCTCCCGGTAAATTTTGATAAATTTCAAATAGCGCCTATGGCCGTACAATGGTAGCTGCGATCATGAAAATCTCAGAATACGTAATTGTGATATCTAATTTCCAAATGGGAATAGCTAATCGGTTGATTTTAGTCAAGAAATATTGTTTCATAGCTAAATTAATATCTTGACCTGAGAGGGAGCTATAAACATAAGAAGTTTATTATTTACAATTTCATAACTTTAGACTCGATTTCAACCGCGACAACGAACAATGAATGTTGTAGGAACGCATACGCTTCCAATGTGTTAATTTGAACCAAATTCATGACCCCATACCAAAACTTTGTAATACCTTTAACAGGCGTGCACGGGCGAGTTCATAACATTATTCATGTTTGTTACACGCAGACAATGTGATGGCTTGCGAATGACTCGTACTCCCAACATCAGTTTTCCGTTTAATTTGACTTAGGAGATGAACGTTGTTCCTCGATACCGGGAGAAACGCATTATTTTTTGAAGACATTACGAAGGATCTAACAGATATTTTGTGTGGAACCACTATTACGGTAAATATGTCATCATATCTTAAAGTAGTAGTAGAGATTTCATTATTCATTCATTCATTTATAGCAACTATATGATTCCCTACATGATACGGTATATACATTTCTTTTAAGGCATGGGCAAAAATTATATCCAAAGGTTTACAGTCTATATAAACCAGCTCGCTGATCTCACATTTCTATTCATATTGTGTAGAATCCTCATGAGTTTTCTCATTCTATCAATATTCAAATGTGCATCTTCTTTTTTTATCTTCATATATCAAATTGAAATCCAACTACATTGTACCACATACATCTGTGAATCTTGATGTACACCCCCTCTTTCTTTTTTCTTCTTTCTCTCTCCTCTCTCTCTCTCTCTCTTTCCCCTTTTACCAACATTTTGTTCCACCATATTCGTATTATTATGTATCCGTTGAGGGTAGTCATGCTATCAAGCTTTGCTTACTTTGTCAACCCTCCTGTTTGATGTTTTCGATAAGTTACTTTATTCGACATTATATTCTTTTGAAATGAGTAAAATTTGCAATGTTTTGTTTGTTATATATTTGTAAAAATGCAAAAGAAAAAGAAAATTAAACAGAAATAAATAAATAAATCAAATCAAATCAAATCAAAACTATTGGCTCAATAATGAAAATGGCTAATAAACTTATTACATAATATACGGATGAAATGTGATTTGAAAGAAACTCTTTTGATTTGGGAAGAATTTTTTTCTCGTATAAAGTATGATTATGTTTACGAAATGATTTGAACGGTCTGCTTCATTTCTTAATTAAGTTTACTTATTGATGATTCTATATTGCATTCATATGATAATAATACGTATGGACGATTAAAAAAGAAGGTAAAATTGGCATATGCGTAGTGAGCTATCAATGTTATGTTATAGTAGTCAATTGACTAAACCGACAAAACTGTTTTTTTCTTCTTCTTAGATGACGTAAAAAAGCCCTTCTTTACGGGTGCATGATAATTAGAAACCTGATTATTACTATTAAAAGTAACATTTTCTTTCTATAAAAAAGAAAGCCTGTATGTTGCATATGAAGTCATATGAATTTCCTAAAATTTTCAATTCAATTCAAACTTAAAGGGATAGTTGAGTTCTGTTGCGGAGGGCGCTACACAAAATATTTTTTTGTGAGATACTGAAAAACTGAGTGTCAAATTTGAAAGAACATAATATTTAAATGACAAAATCATCTTTGTTTGATCAAAATCGCTTATGAGACGGCTGAAATATAACGATTTCTAATACTTGTGTACCACCACAAATATTAGATATTTTGAAAAATTTGAAAAAACCGATGAAAAAAACGAAACAATGCCTTTTTACGTTGTATTTCAGCCAATGCCGATGTTGGCTTTTTTGTTGGCATTTTCGTGTTGCTTATATAACCCACAATTAGCTGGCTCAAGTATTATTGTTAATTAAACAGTAAATTAACGGTCACCATGTTTTTTTTCTTTCCTCTCATGCTATTAGTCTTCTTTCATTTTCATCACTTCTTCTTTTCTTCCCCTCTCGAGTTCTAGTTCTCTCGTGAAATTGTAACGTAATGTAGTACATGTAGTACATTCTTGTTTAGAATAGTATTTTCAATAATATCCAGTCCGTCTTCTATAGGTTTCTTTCCTTCAGTTAAGTGTATGTAGCTTTACTACATATATATATTAGTGTGTAAAACACCCCGTCTCATTCGAGTACTTTGTTTTCACTGACTTTAAGGGACTCACGGAACCACCGGAAGAAGAGCAATTGGCTTATCGTGAAGAACTGACATCAAACTGCAACAAAATGATTTGTATGAATGGGAATAAGCAGAAAGGCTGCCATCTAATTTTCCCGTCTGAATGGGTTCTCTTCTTTACGTATAAGTGCCCTTCAAAGCTTATTTTGATCCCTCCCCTGTTGCTTTCCAGAACTTCCACGATGACCTAATACATTGTATCAGGGGCGTCGCTAGACCTTTTTCAGTGGGGGGGGGGGGGGGCTGGTGTAGAGGCCAACGATTACCGACAAAACTAGCCACCAATTACCCACAAAATTAAGTGTCTCAATATCTACAAATAACCCTATAAACCCGGGGCCGAAGGCTAAATTGTTTTTCCTATGGACTATCTATAGTACTTGCGTATGCGCAAATGATCAATTTCCTCGACGACATAAATATACGAATTATTTTGTCAACTTAGTCAACATCATAGCTATATATTTTAATGCAGGCGCGGAGCTAGGATCTTATTTTAGGGAGGGGCGGTAGTGAGCAAGCGAAGCGCGCTCGTTAGGGGGTGTCGGTATTAGGCCTCCCGCGCGAAGCGCTGAAGCTTAGACGTTTCCCTAAATTATTAGGAAAAGAAGACGATTTATTGTACCGTTCTCGACTCGTCTAAATGAAGTTTTCCCATCCCGCGCGAAGCGCTGAAATTTTGGCGTTTCATCAAAATATAGAGATAAGAAGACGATTCATCGTATCGTTGTTGACTCTTAATCCTTGTTTGAATTTAGTTTCCCTGAAAATGTTAAATCTCTGATTTCTTTAGCTGATATTATAGGAAAGTGAAACTTAGAGAAAATACAAGTATTGTAGTTGTAGTCACTCTCGAAGTCGTCACAGTGGATACAAAGTCACAGTTCGTAGGGAAAAAAACTTGTCGGCCGACCGACTGTTTTTAAGACAATATCTTTTGTGTCGATCATAGTTCTATGTAGCTTGATATCTCACGGTAATTTTGAGAGAAAAGCAATGCAAGCAATGATTTCTGAATTGTAGCGACAATCGCGTTCGCCTTTGCTGTTCTTCAATAATTTGACAAGCAGTATTATTTAATTTTTCAATGACTCGTGATACATTCGTTTAACAGTTGATTACCCTCGGTTGATTCTATTGTTCGGATTATTTGGCGGGGAAAATGTATTATTGAAAATGTATTAGTGAATGTATTGTTATTCTTATTTGTTCATAGTCTCTACGATGCTCTTTGAATCAAAAACAACTTTTAGTGTTAGGCTTCCTGAAAGAAATTTCAATTGTTGTTAAGACATTTTTGGGCGGAACAATTGTCGGCGGAGCAAATGTCACCGGAGCAAGTGTCGCTTCAGGCGGAGCAAATGTCGGCGGAGCAACTGTTGGCGGAGCAATTGTGGGCGGAGCAAATGTCACCGGAGCAATCGTCGTGTTTTGCGGAGCAATTGTCGGCGGAGCAAATGTCGGCGGAGCAAATGTCGGCGGAGCATATGTCGGCGGAGCAAATGTCGGCGGAGCAGTTGTCGGCGGAGCAAATGTCGCGGAGCAATTGTCGCGTTTTGCGGAGTAAATGTCGGCGGAGCAATCGTCGGCGGAGCATGTGTCGGGTTACCCCCGTGGTACATGTTGTCATTCGTCATTATTTTGTTATCATTACGTGCAAGTTTCCAACATCTTTTTTTGTAACAATTTGTTTTAATTCTCAATTTTCTATTTTGTCCAATCAAAGAGAAACAATATAGGGTAATGTTCATGATTGAGTAGAATTTCAGATAAGTTACGTTTTTCATAATTAACTATCCCATACATTATATATCGCCTTGAAGTTATCATCTTGTGGGTTTTTTAGTAAACATTTTCAAATTTGAATTTTCTAGAGTCTAGATTATCCTTGATGATGATAATAGTTGATAATAATAACAATAATTATGACGACGATAATGATAGAGATGGTGATGATATAAATGAAGGTAATGATGATAGTGAAACTACTACTATACCACCACCACCACCACTACTACTACTAACTACTACTACCACTACTGCTGGTGGTGGTGGTCCTACTAGTGATGATAATAATGATACCAACAATATTAATAATGATTATAATAATATCAGAGAAGAAGATGACGTGTATTGGTTTGACCTTGTAGTTGTACCTAATAGAGCTCGGACAACAACATCTTACTTTTTGTAAATGATATAAGTATATAATAATAATAATAGCCTATAACAAGTCCACTCCAAATTTTATTAAACCGAAACGGAAATTCTTTTTGCCCAATTGATCGTGAGCCCGGCAGCCACTGAGCAGCGCCAGATCGACGTTGCTCTATCCCTTATTGTTGAACGCCAAACAAGGTAGCAACAACTCCCATCTTTTAAGGTCTTTTGGTATGACGCGGCCGGGGTTCGAACCCACGACCTCCCGGTTGTGAGGCGGACGCTCTACTGACTGAGCCAACACTCCGGTATGAAGAACTATGTAAGATTTCAGTCATGATTATCTCCCAGCATGCTTCAACATGTAACAAGGTCTTGATAATAATTTTTCAAATGTGTAAAACATTAATAAACTTAGTACTTGACTAATTATTACCATTAATTGTATAAGACAAGTTTTACATTATGATCCCTTTTGTAATTGTTTTTGTAGACGATGTTTATAGAAGAGGAAATATATAAACAATTTTTTTTCCTTTCTTTTTTCGAAGGTCCTGCGGACGTCAGTTTAACTGAAGAGAGACCAACCCCTGGTTTTATCATGATGATTTTCCGAATCATTGGAAAGAGGTTAGTGGATTAAACAAAAACAAAACGTAAAATTAAGCTGCTTAGTAACCTCTTTGCTTACAATTGCACTTTCTGAGCTAGGGTGTTGATGCCAGAATAAAGTTTGGATAGAAAACCAGTGTTACTTCTAGAGTTATTGAATTAAAATTATTTAGAGGACCATTGTCTCTTTCACTAAACATTCCACCACTGACTTGAAGTCATTTTTGTGTTAATCATTATTAGGGATGAATTCTAGGTTTTTATGGCATTCTTAAAGTATCTCATATACATTAAGGGTAAAGACCAGTATTGGAAACGCCCCAATTTCAAAAAATGAAATGGAAGCTCTCATTACCAATCATGTGAAAGAATATGTTTTGACTAATACATGATGATACAAAATTTGCCGGAACCCGCCTACTAATTCATATATTTGGTAAATTTGTTTCTATCATGGTCTGTGAGAGATATAGGGTAGTCCCATATACATCTTTCTGTGTATAGTGCTTGTAACTTTACGAAGAATGGGCCAAGTTTCTTATCATTTTGATGATTCCAGAACCTTGCAGATGCTAGATGCTAGATGATCAACCTTTTCTGATCGATTCCACAACGTTTCTTTCACAATGCAATCGCATGACCATAACTGGTCTTTACCTTTCAGATCGTTCTTTATGTGTATTTTTTTCCCAAACAACTAAACAGAGATAGAGAGAGAGAGAGAGAGAGAGAGAGAGACTGCACTCCACTATGTTCGCATAATATTTCTGTCATTTTATCTCTTACATTTTTACAGAAAACGATTCGTTTCATCGAATGCATTGGTTATCAATTTACGTGCTTTGTTAAACACTTTCAGGTATTCTCAGTTCTTGGTCACATACCCGTCCGTGGTCATGTTACTCGTTTTACTGGTGGTCATCATCTCGGCCGGCCTTGGTGTCCTTCTCAATGAATTATCTTCCTTCGATAACCCAACCAAGGTTAGATAATGTTCGAGATATTCCTTTGGCTTGCATTTTACTGAGCATTGAAATTACACTATATCACTTTTGTAAGGGACACCCATAATGTATTTTGAATAATACATTACCTTTGTTCATTAACATTAAAACGCCTGAAGAGTAGAAAGATTGGTTGGCTTAGTGTTTTTTAAATTTGATGTTGACTGTATGTCGATACTGTTTATATAGTTATTTATCTATTCATTTATTTGTTATTCAAAAACATTAATTTTGTAGAGGTGTCGTGGTCGAGTGGATACGTCGCCAGACTGTCAATCACAAGGTCCTCGGTATCGAGTCCCGCCGCGGCACTAATGTCCTTTGGCAAGATATTGATTTACATTTGCCACACTCAACCCAGGCGATGTAAATTGGTACCTGGCAGGACTTAATTCCTTAAAATTCTGGAGCGCTGTAGTGGCAGCTAGGCTTAAGCCGGGGTAATAATGAATGCGCCTCGGAATAGAATTTTTAGATACATGTAGACGTCGCTATTCAATTCAATACAATTCAATTTATTATTTCATTAAACAAAATCACATACATGTACAATATATTGAGAGGTGTACTGGATCATTAGCACCCGATAAAGCCGATGGCTTGAGGGAAGTGGGTGGACCCATAACATAAATGACAAAAGTGGAAAATACAAAACATTAAAATTCACAATATAACAAAATGCAAGACGTAAACAATTTATTATTTTCCCTTGTAGTATTCCTCATACCACAGGCATTGTCTCAGAACCTAAACATTTAAAGCTAACAAATTGTTTTCTATTGCTGAGATAATTAACAAACCAGTTATGTGGTATACCACGTACGCCATAATTTTTCAATTTTTGTACCATTATGTTATGATTTAAGGTATCGAATGCCTTACTTAAATCAATATACTGTAATATATTCCTAAAGTATATTATCTTAATCTAAACATGGGGTTATATGCTCTGAGGCGTGTAAAAGGGCCATTTCCGTGGATTGGTTGGGTTTGAATCTAAACTGTTTTTTTGTTAGAATGCTTTTTCTAGACAGACGGCTATAGAGTCTTTAAAATATAATACGTTCGAGGATTTTTGAATGAGTTGGAAGTAGAAATATAGGGAGATAGTTTTTTTTTTTTTTAATTGAATTTGGATCATTCTTTTTATAAACAGGTATTACTTTAGCTCTCTTTAGGTTGTCTAGGACGATGCCTATGGACAAATAAAAATTGAAAATGTGTTTCAGAGGATAAGAAATATAATGTATAATTTTGTTCACAAAATTGGTACTTATACCATCATACCCAAACGAGGAACTGGGTTTCAAATCCTTAACAATCTGTACAATTTCGCATTCACCTGTAGGATTAAAAAACAGAGATTTCGAAGTCCTGGGATTCAAGTATTCCGAAAAGTGGTTAGATGTTGACTGAACATCGTTGGCAACTGATGCACCCACATTAGTAAAATAAGAATTGAACGAATCAGCCATTTCCCTTTCATTAGATATTTGTTTGCCATTTTCCAAGATATATTGCGGTAGTTTAACCTTCTTATTTCTTCCTAGAATATCATTAATTGTTTGCCAAGTTTTAGTGAGATTCAATTTTTTTTTCTCCAAAAAGGTGTGCATAGTGCTTTCGTTTTGATAATCTAGTAATGTATTTCGATTTGTTACTATACATTTTTGTATAATGAACTGTTTTTAGACGATATTTTTTTGTTATATACTTCCGGAATAATCTCTGCTTCTTATTGATAGAACATAAAATCCCTTGAGTTATCCATGGTTTTCTTGGAATATCTCTGTTTTTCCGTTGAACTTTTTACATATCCCAGACAGTGTATGTAAATATGCTTCATATGCTGAGTTTGTATCATCACATCTGTTTACACAAAGCCAATTATTCAGACTTAATTCCTTTGAAGGATTTCAATAATTTAATTTAGAAAACACTGACTCATTTGTTGTGAGATGAGAAGTACACTCCTGCTAACGAACACATTCTGTCAACTGGAAAATGGGGAGGTGATCGGAAACGTCACAATTAAGTTTATATAGAAATGCCTATAATTATTTTTTAGTAATAATAAGTTTTATTAAAAGAATTCTACTCAAGGTTGTCTATATGGTATTCTTGTAACATAAATTACTCATGCAATAACTTATATACATGATGGTTCAAAGGTTTTACTGTCGAGTTCCCATGTAATGTCAGTAATATAGATAGGGCCCCATTACTGTACCCAAGCTTCCAAACTCTTGAGTAATGTTTGCTATCAATTCACTTCAGTACGAATGAAGGGAAATTGTTTTGTTCATCAGAAGGATATTGATACAAGTGTAACAAGAAAAATTATCTTATGATATGAAGGAGGGTACGAGACGATTGACTTTCCTTCAATTGTATTTCATTTTGACAGGGATTCGAAGCCCGAGGAACAGTCATCAGTGGGCGATTGAAAGCTTTGAGGAGAATGGAGTATGGTGCTGATGGGGTCTACCCATGCCCATCATCATCTAACAAATCAGATGGCGACATGTGTTCTCATCGTGTAACCAGAGACATCCAAAACCAAACTCTAGATGATGATGTACTAGGTAGCTGCACCCTAGATTGTAAGAATAAAATATTTGCTATTTGACCAAAACCTTCTTATGCCACGAGACTAGATATTTCTCCCCACAGTGAATAATTTACATGAAATGACATGATTTTTACAATTATGTCCTTCCACCTCTAGAAACCAAGTATAGGAAACCGAAACATTGAAACAATTCAAATTCACAAAAATGGAGAAGAAAAAAAACGAAAAAAAAACGAAAAAAATACGAAAAAAAAAAATCAAAATCAAAATCAAAATTGTAACTCATAATTATATATACTAATAAAGTTACTCATGGACATACGAGTTAAGGGGGGGGGGGTTCTCCCCCCAAAAACAACGATATTTCTGACGTTTCGATATTCGAGTACGGAGGAGCCCGAATATCATAAAAATGTGACTGTACACCTATATGAAGCTAAGATAAGGAAAAGATTTCTGGTAAATCGCGTGGGCGTTCTACAAAAAGGACACTGCCGCCATTTATTGTCGAGTATAATTTCTTTTCAGCGGGGGGGGGGGGGGGGGGGGGGGGGGGGGGGGGGGGGGGGGGGGGTGGGGGTGGCGTACTACATATATAATAAATGTTTTAAATTATATCGTTTTAAAGTATATTGTTTTTGGTATCAATACCTGATTAAAAGATTACAAACGTGTGATAAAGAAGGTGAGAAAAAAATTAACAGCCCGGTTTATTTAATTTTCGAAATTATGAACCATAAAAATCATCGCTTTATATTTTAAATTAGGACTTACGAAAAATGTTCCATTTTCATAATTATAAACCCCACCTCACCATCGGGAATGCAAAATCATATCACCCTTTTTTAATTCTTTTTCTTTATAAAACGGCAAATTCTGATCTTTTAAAAAGGCGAACGATAAAAAAGGAGCTTCTATGGATGTATATTGAAGGTATGACTAGGGAATCATTATTTATCATGTATTTCCTCTTTCGCACAAGCTGCGCCTTGAGCATTTGATTGATTGTCAAGTGGATTTGACGCCTTACAAATCTTATGAATTATGACATTTTTTTTCTTCTAAAGATCGAGCTTGCTACGGTGGATTAATAACTCATGGAAAAAAAGATCTTTTCATGGTTAGGGGTTTTTCACCTCGCCTCACTGTTGACTTTTGTGGAGCGAATACAAAAGAAAGTTGGCTCTAACAAAAAGAATATGAAATGTGGTGAGGGTTCATGCGCGTGATTAACTTGGACAGGGAATCAAGGGGAATTTCCCATTAAAAAACAAGATTATTATGAACTTTAAAAAACTTCACAATCATCTTTCTTTTTAATAGAAAATTCTATAGCTCTTTTTAAAAAGTGGAATGGAAAAAAAATTCTAAAGAGGAATCAGGATATACAGTAGGTTTGCGGTTGCACCATGTGTGTGAGAGAGAGAGAGAGAGAGAGAGAGAGAGGTTTGAACAGTCCTGAAAAAGGACTTTGACTCGGTAATCTTTCTTGGAGGAGTGTAGTCCTGAAAAGGACTGTTTGTTATCTTTCTTAGCATATAGTTCTCAGGAGAACTATAGCGCTTGGAGAGGATGAGTGGCTCGACGTTTCGAACAGGTTGACTATCCGTCGTCAGATTACTGAGCCAGAGTCCTTTTTCAGGACTCCTCAAACCTCTCTCTCTCTCTCTCACACATGGTGCAACCGCAAACCTACTGTATATCTACATCACCATGCAAGCCGACACTTACAAGGAATCAGGATGTATGTCGAGATTATGAAATAGGCGTTTTTCCTTTTAACGAAAGAAAAAGTAGGGGACAAAAATAAATCATTCTGACATTTTCTTTTTCTAAAGAACGAGCTAACTATGGCAATTAAATAAATCATTAAACTAAAAATCTATTGAGTTCTGAGGAGCAAAATAAAAGAGAGTTCCCTTTAAAAGAAAGAATAGAAATGTGGCGAGGTTTCATACGCCTGATTTAGCAGAGGACGCCAAGGGGAATCTCCCATCAACAAACAAATTATTATGAACTAAAAGGTGTGGGAGGGAGGGTCCATCCTTCCACGGAAGGGATTTGTGTTGTTGCATTTTTCTGCCCAAAAAACGGTATGATTAATAAGTGCAGTGTCCTACCTACATATGCGCCGGAAGTGTGGGGGGGGGGGGGGCGGGGGGCAGGGAGCGCTCGCCCCCAACCCAAAAAGTTGGGGGGGGGGGCAAAACACAATTTTTTTTTAAAGCAGTAAAGGAGTAAAATGGTTTGTATTTTTCAACCAAAATGAACATTAAAAATAATAAAAATTTAATTGAAGCACATATACATGATATTCCATTCAAAGAAAAGGAAAGTTTACAGGAATTAAATTTCCTATTCATTCCGCATGTCCCTATACTGGCGTACTGATAGGGGGTAATTGTAATCTGAAACCAGTGATTTACAAAATTAATGTTGCTGACATGACATGAAGGTATTTTTTGGTAAATCATACCTTTTTATGCGTTTGTTGGAAAATTACAAATTCCCAAATTACAGTCGGGCGAAAAAATATGTTTATTGAGAAACCTTCATGTCAGAACGTGGGGGCTCGGGGGTCGAGCCCCCTTCATATTTTCGAAAAGTATGTCAAAAAGGGGAACAAAGACACAGAGAGAGAAAAAAAATGAGTGACCTGCCAATGTCACAAATGAGGTATTAAAATATACTCATCTGACCGTAATTAAATCCCTAAAACCCCTGAGCTTTCGGGGGATCTGCCCCTGGACCCCCTAAGGGCTCTCAGGTGGCCCCTGGATGCTCATCTGACCTTAATTTAATGCCTAAAAACCCTGAACTTCCGGGGGCTCAGCCCCCGGAATTTTGCCACGACATCGATCTCATCACCGTGGTATTTTTCAAAACATATGTTAATGATACATGTACATGTAAAATAACGATTAACGAAATTGGCTGGATCCTGAGTGTAATTTACATTTGTAAACATATTAACATCTACATGTAGTTTAAGTATTAATAAAGTGCATAAACTGGAATATGAGGAGATGTGGATAAATTGGAGAAAGATAGAGCGTAGAGAATACTCGAAAAGTGTAGGCAAGAGAGATTGGGAGAGGAAGAAAGGGAGAATTTATAGCAATCGAGGGATGACTCGCGAGATAGCCTAGTTACGAAAAGAATCCTTTATAGAAATTTGTCTTGAGAGGAAGTAGAAAGTTTTTTTTAAACAATAAAATGAAGTTTAGTGTAAGTATGAGAAAAAAAAATCGGACATAGAATGAATGAGAAAGTTATTAATTTTTGAAAATCGAGATCAATACATGTAATTAGATGGGGAATCTCCAACTGGCATTTATGTGCGATATACACTGCAAGGATAACTTCCATTTAAAGTGTGCACAAAATGACTCGAAGTGTTGATTTTTCTTGATTATAGAAAAAAGGAACAGATATTATCAAGTAAAAGTATGTCGCCCAAACTATCATATACCATCGTACGTGAGAAAATTGAATTATTTTATTTTGTGTAGACAACTTTTAGAGTTCTCCCACTTTTACTTTGACAAGTGCCCTTTTTCTCTGCAAGAAGTGCCCCTTCCCCTCCTAATAAGTGCCCCTTTTCACCTTTAGTGTGTGCCCCTTTTGTTTTGACGCGTGTCCCTTTTCCCTTATAATAACTGCTCCTTTTCCTTGTGATAAGCCCCCCCCCCCATTTCTTTCATGAAAACCTCTTTCCCTTCTCATGAATGCCCCCTTTCATATCTGATAAATGACCCTAACACAATCTAATAGGTGACCCTTTTCCTTGCCATATATGTCACTTTCCATTCTCACAAGTGCGAGAAGTGCTCATTTTCACTTTTGATAATTGCCCCTATTCAAAATCTGAGTGGTACCCGTTTTACTTTGACAAGTGCCCCCTTTTCCTTGTTATAATTGCCCCTTCTCCTTCTATCTGATAATTGCTCCTTTTCCTTTCTCTTTATAATATACGCCCCTATAGAGCGACTTAGAGCAATATTTTCATTAATTTTCCCCAAAAGCTCGCTCACATTTATAATGGGTATTCAGTCTTTTTTTTATCTCTCATTCACTCAATTCAATATCATGTATAAATAAGAAGGATGCATTCATAATTTTCTCACAATAATCAAGCGGCGATGCATTTTCCTATGTGACCGTGTCGACAGAATGATATTGAATATATCATATCTTTACAATTCTTTTTTTATTCTTCCGTAGTTTCATCTAGGTTCAAAATGGTCTACCGATCTACCGACTCAATGGAGATGTTCACTTCTACTGGCATGAAAGCTGTGTGTCAACATGACAAGGAAAACTTTCGCAGTTACGTCGGTTTTGATCAGATCTGCGATTATCGTACAAATGGCAATTGTTGCCCTTCGATATCATTAGGACAAGTGACATCATTGATGGTTGGCAAAGAATCTTGCGATGACATTGATGACAGTGATGTACTAGGAATGAAACAGCTGCTAGAGGAATGCATTGCATTGTACTCAAGAGGATGCCTTGGCGGTGATGGTGGCTCTATTTGCAGTGATGTTCCTGTAAACTGTTCAGCTAACTCCGGGGTATACACCATATTCCACTATCTCACCCCGAAGAACTTTGCACTGCAAGTAGCGAAAGGTGCCTTTGATCTGCAAACTGTCATGGTGCTTCAACCTGTGCCAAATTGGGATCAAACTTTATATGACATATATACCGATAAACCTCGACTAACCGATGATGCAGTACAAGTTGTCGCCATTGGTGGAGGATTTAAATTCGGTTTATTTGGTGATTACCTTTTATCAGACTCCATCTATATCGGTTTCGGATGCCTTGCTGTAGTGGCCATCATTTGGATGTATGTGGGTTCATTGTTTGTCACAATTATGACTATGTTTAGCATTATTATGTCGATGGTTGTAGCTTACTTTCTCTATCATACTGTCTTTCGATTAGTTTTCTTTCCTTTTGTCAATGTAATAACAGCAGTGCTAGTGATCGGTGTAGGGGCCGACGACTGCTTCGTTTATGTCGACATCTGGAAGTTGGCCAAAAAAGAACATGGTGGTGGTCGAGAGAATCGAGTATTAGTACTTCGTGAGACTCTGAAACATGCCGTGACCACCATGTTTGTTACAAGTCTCACAACGGCAAGCGCCCTCTTTGCAGGATGCGTCAGCAGCATCACAGCAGTTCGATGCTTTTCTGTCTTTGCTGGTA